GCAGGTGTGAGCGGTCATCCTTGTTCTGCTGTGGAGTCTTCTTAGAAGACCAGGCATGTTGGTAAACCGCTAGTACATGCACACGAGCCCCAAGCCACGGGAAGATGACCTGAATGAGCCTTCCCCGGCGTTGCTCGCGCCATCTTATCTTCTGCTTGTCTATCTGCGGAGAGAGAAGAACCATGACGCCGTCCGCTCGGCTTGTGTCGTGAACAGCCGGCTGCGTGGCAGCGCCTTGCTTGGGGCGTTGCCCTGAAGTGGCTTTACCTTTAGGTGCTCGAGCAGCCCCTTTTGTGGCGGAGCTTACGCAGTGCCAGCCTTCGACATCAAATTCTGCTGTCTCACTCCAGTGGGTTTCCTGAAGGACAAGAATGTCACAGACTGACTTGGCCTCCGTGCGAAGCCATGTCTTCACTTCTGCCCATTGTTGCATGCCAAGGTGCCCTGCATTCCAGGAAAGAACACGAAGAGACTTGCTGGCACGACCGCCTCTCGGGCGCGAGCGGAAACTGGCGGAGAAACCTGAGGGACCTGAAGGAGAAATCGTGGAGCTAGGCTGCACTGGGAGGGGGGGAGGGGAGGGGGGGGTGAGTCCACTGCGACGCAGATGTTCAGGCGTCAACGTACCATTCCGGTACGGGATGCTTTCTTGTGTTCTATGAACCTTATTGCAAGCCTTGCGAAAGGCCTTCTTGCGAATGCTCTCAAATGAATGCTGGTGCATTGGCGATTGCGCCGTCCGCTAGTTTCGCCGGAAAGAGAGAACTCGAACCGACTCCTTTCACCCTGCGGAAAAGGTGAAAACCACTACCGCTTACCTCATGCCAAGGTTGTATAACTGCAGACAGAGGTCCGGGAATTGGGACCCGGTAGATCACAGCGACACGCGGCTCCGGGAATAGCTATGGCTCAGTAAGAGGACGGTCCCTTAAGCTTCGCAGAAGGGGCACGTTGCGAGCCTCTAGCGTTGGTACCCAGAGCCTTGTTAGCAAAGCTACACAGCCTGCTGTGATCCATAGCGGCTACAACAACAGCAACAACAACAGCAACAACAACAGCAACAGCAGCAACAACAACAACAACAACCACAACCACACCAGCAACAGCAGCATCGGGAACAACAACAACAACAACAACAACAACAACCAGCAGCAGCAGCAGCAGCAGCAGCAACGACAAACGGCAAAAGAAAAGTACACGGCGACAGGCAACAAGCAGCAAGCAGCTAAACGATACCAGCCATGACCACAACAACGACAACCAGAACGACAACAATAACAAGGACAACGACCACGACGAAAGCGACGACAAGAAATACTATAGAAACGACAAAAAAACTCACGAAGAAGAAGCAGAAACAACAACAAGCAAGACAATAAAAAGAACGACAGCAGCAATACAAACCACCCACCGTCCCCATCATTTGAAACAGCGTTCCGCGGAGCTGAATGATTCATGGGTCAAGCCACGTAGTTCTGAATGAGATAGTCCATGGCAAATGCACTGCCACAAACTCACAACGAGCGCCAAGCTACTGCTGCAAAGGCGCCATGCCCAGGATCATGCACGAATACGCACGTAAATCATGGAAACCTCAAGGTTTACACGGAACTGGCTCAAATTGGGGTTCAAGTTGCCAGCGTTACCCTTGTGACCAGGAGGCTTTAACGTAACAAGCAAAGTAGAGGTGTTTCTACTGATGCTTTTTTGGCTCTCACCATACCTGTGCTTTGCTTCATGTTGAGCTTGATGGTCATCTTCTGTTCTGGAAACAAGTTCCAAGCGATTTGAAGAGCAAGTTGAGCTTGATCACCGGCACATGAGCATACGGGGTTGCGCCGGTGCTTTCGTTGGTAAGTCGTACTCCCATTGGAGTCACTGCGGCATGGAGATTCTTCATAGAGCCCACCCCTGGGAAAAAAATGATGAGAGAGGTACGGAGATCCCTTTTGCACGACTTCAAACGTTGTCCCCAAGCTTCAGCCATCTCTGAGAACTCTTTCCTTCCTGAGACTTTTGCTTGGGAAAGATCAACATTAGTCCTGAAGCCCGAGGGCACAAGCAGGTTCGAACCATCAGGCGAGGAAGCCCCTACAAGATGCTTATTGTGGATCCATCTCTTGCTGAGCCACCTGATCCCGAATCATCTGCATCTGAGGGGCCTGGACGAAAGAGCTTCCTGAATGGAGTGCAAGATATCCTTCTTGATCTCGCAAGTCAAAGACAGAAATTGCCGAATGAGATCTTGTCTTGATGACTCGAGTTTGCGATCAATCAACATATTAACTTCATAACATATTAACTTCATCTCTACCTACTTTGTGGTCTCTCAATCTCGGCAGCGGGGATCTACTTCGCGAGGCGAATCTTTGCGAGACCGAGCTTGATGCCACATTAGATGGGTTTGACCATAATATGTCGTAGGAGCCTTAAACCTCAAAATACCAAAGATTCGTCCTTATACTATAATTCATGTCGAAAAACCTTCTTCTATATGTTGAAGCACCCTTTTGCGAACGAAACCCAGTCTCTTTCTCTAGTTGGTCTTAATACTTCTATATCTTTGTGCTTGGGGGGGTATAAGTGATCTACAATCGGGCTGCCTGTAAGGATTCAAAAAGGGTGGAGGGAAAGGGGTCTGATAGACGGATATATAAAAAGCTTATTGATGTTCAAGATTTTCTAGATTTTGCAAAGAGCTGCAAGAGCGTTACTATGTTCTTTCCCAAGCGTATGGAATTGCCTATGCTTGCAACCTCGCCCCGCTACTGGAAGAGTATTATTTACACCTGCATATATTTGTATTCATTCATATATATTGATGACAAGAATTCTATATTATTTCAGGACTGTACATTTCTGAGAATACTGATATATTCCTTATTATGGGGAATATGACACTTACATCACTAGTAGTACTAATATACAATGAATTTCAAGAATATTCCAAAACTATAAAACATAAACATAAGTCTAGGGTCGAAGTCAAAATGAATTCTTTTGGATTACGGCATATTTTCGGTGTAAATTAGAAGTGCAATTTCTTCCTAATTTGGGTATTGTTGATCTTGTGATTGTCGTATGTATAATAATAGACTGGGTGTCCGTTGGTAAATGAGGGCTTGGGGTATCGTTCGGGTTGTTGTATGCGAACGTTCATAGCATCAAACCTTAAGGTATTAATATAGAAATTCTAAATATCTTCAGTCGGCGTTTACCGATACCATATCGCCACAGAAAAATTATATACCATGGAAAATATCTCGCCTATATCTGCTACAATCGGTGCACCTGAGATAAGATGTGAAAGCATTCGATATCCGTTCTCATATTTTCAACTCTGGAGGCGCGATTACAAAGGAAAAACTCGGATTATTATTATGACTTCGCATCAACGCTTCGTGCAACCATCGCATATGAAAAGTATATCTCCAACGCAGCGTTTAGTTGGGTCAAAAAAGATTTATGATGCCTTCATGAATCATAACGGTGCGATTCCGCGGATCATTTAGGAAAGGCCTTCCCTAACTGCTCTTTTCCGGATTTCGATTTTATACGGTATCATTTGATAGATTTTTGTTTTTTATTCATACTTTCCGAAAGGTTATCGCGAGGTCTTTCAATATCATGGCTAATCTTCTTAGATTTAAGAGTATTATCTACAATATTATCTATGATCTATCCTTAGTTAGATAGTGAAATTCTGCATGTGAATATCTAAAAATCGATAATCATTACTACAGTGCGCTCCATAAAATTCGAAACCAGATTAAGGCCAAATAGTGCTAGGATTCCCTATATATGACTCCTAGGGATTGAGGCTACGGGATTTCCAACTTTTGAGCTCCTCCTGTATTCCTATTCTGTCTGATATTTTTTAAAGATATTCAGATTTGAAAAATCGGAGCATGATATGACTATATAAGCAAATATTCAATGTCAAGATATTCTTGTTTTGATGGTATATATCAATGAAAGCATATTCCAGTTGGTTTATATCTTAAATACATGAATCATCAACATCGTATTACTCATCGTATTACTCAAACTTTATGTTGATTTCAGCCGTAGATAAGAAACCATCTTGAAACTTAATATAATAATATATATATATATATATATATATATATCAATTCGATTCATTCCCGAGAATACCGGTTTTCTGAATATGATGATATCCCCCGAAATCTATTCCCTTTATAACTCCCGTATTCTATCGGATATTTTCTCTAATATTCGATATTCTTTGAAAGATTTATGCTTATTCTTACTATCAAACAGTACTTATTCTTTATCTTTACATATTCATATGCTATTCAAACAACTATTTTAGAACTAATCGGAATCATTTCCACAACAAGATATTCATGTTCATGATACGTAATAAAAATACTAGTTAATATTAGGGATATTCGTGTCTAGGATTTGATATTAGAAACATATTTAAACACCAATCAGTTTATATTTTGAAAACTTATATTTTTCTCATTAAAACAGAAATTCCAAAAATAGTCTATCAAAAAGTAAGCAAAAATCTAAATCGACAGCACAAACAAAGTAGAACTATATAAGAAATATATATATTTATATACAGAAACCTGTATATAATAATATAGGTCTTAAAGAAGGTTTCCTAACAAAAATATTGAGATAAACACTAGATATTTAAATTGCTGAGACAAGAATTTAAGGAACATATCTATATTATTCATTGAATAAATAGTCAGACCTTGTCAAAATATAGAACATCTCTATATTCAGATTTTCGATGTGATTGTATAGCAATGAAACTCCGATTTTTGTGGTCGCGATTCTTATCCAAGGGGAACTCCGTGGCATGTACCCAGGGGACCCCTCACGAACGAATCAGAGCGGAAGCCGATCTTGACTTGTTATTTCTTACATAGCCAAGGTCAAAGGGACTTCATCAAACATATCCATGCAAAACCACGAAAACATACGAGGGTACCAATGGCATCAGAATCACCGCATGTTCACTTTCACATCTCAATGCGGCTGTACAGCTCAAGCGCTTGCGTTTTCAGCTTCTTCGTGATGTGATCCATGTTGATCTCTTCCGCATTCCGTGTCCACAACTCCTCTAAGACCTTCCTGGTTGCTGTCAATGGCACCTTCTCTCCATTGATGTCCTTTGCCAGGAATTGCTTGGATGTGTACCTCAGGCTCAGAGAAGAACCGCTGCTGTGCCCAAATGGCATTCATCTGTTGTCGCAAAAACGATTCCAAGGTCAGCCTACTGATGCAGAGAACATGTGTATGATAACCGCAAAAATCAAAACCCAACCCTAAGTCCTTCGTCCTAATATTTTTGGTTTCAGATGAACCCCTAAACCTGAAACTTGCAAGGCAGAGGGGCAATTCAACGGTGGCAGCAGTATCCTCCTCTTCCGCCGTAAAGTGATGTATTAACCAGATCCAATCAGCCAATAGCTTCAAGTTCTCCTCCAACCCCAGAGTCCTCCGTAAGGCCAATACTTTAGGGTTTAGGGTTTGGAGTTTATGATGTTGGGGTTACGGACAAGCCAGCGAAGCGGTTAAGTTGCCAGTAGTGAACCCCGACTGGCGCCACTGCCACCATCCTCTCTGCATCAATGCGATCAAACTCTTCCACGGAAAAGGGCGCATCTTTCCCACGACATCATTCCAAAGATGCGATTTGTCGAGCGAAACCAGGGAAGCCCTTCGACAAATCTTTAAGGTTTTCTTTTCGGAGGAGGAGGAGGAGGAGGAGGAGGAGGGGTCGGTCGGGGAAACCCTAAACCCAAACCCTGCTCCTAAAATACAGGCTAAAAACATTCCGACCCTACCTCAGCCACTGAGCCCTCCACGGGCCCGAACCGACTGTGCCCTGCTCATACTCTTCGACAGAGAAAGCGCAGCGAAGCCGCAGGCGGTAGCCAAAGTGCCAATCCTGGCGAGTGGCTCTGGGTTGCGGTTTAGGGGGTTTAGGGCACGAAATTCTCGCGGTGCTTGCTGTTCCTCTATGTGCAACCAATGCTGCAAACCCTACTCCAGCTGCCAGACGTTTATCACAATCATGTTGCTTCCTTAAAACCTCAACCCGCACCTGCCTGTCCCACGACATGCAGCTAGCGCATGTTTGTGTGTTGCACACACACACACACACACACACGCACAAACACCACTCTCTCTCTGTGACAATCACTGTAGGCATGCTATCTATCTATTTATCTGTGAATTCTGCATGTTATTCTGATACTGGGTTTATTAGATGCATATGCGTTGAGCAACGTTTGAGATTGCTGTGATATGTTCTCTTATCTCACACCTTGAGCCCACAAACCGTGTAACTGTAAGGACTCACTTCTCTCTTCAAAAACAATCCCAAAAGCCACATCCCAAGTGTCCTCATCGTGCTTCTTCAGGCAGACAGAATCTAAAGAGGTTCTCTGATATGGCCAAGAGCAGGTAGAATTCAGGTACTGCCTTGATTGCTGCTTCGGTAGCTCAAGCCAAGCTAGCCTGTAGATAAGTCCGAAGTTTGCGGGGTTCGGGCGTTAGAAAAGTGTGTGCATGCCCAGGTGCATAGTGCTGGCGAGCGATGCAGATGCATACAGCTTGGCATCATGTCTCATCAGCACAGGGCCTTCCATGAAGTTGTGCACTTTCAGGAAGTCGTGCAGGGAATAGAAATCCTGGTTCCAAATGGGAGTTTCACAAAATAGGGGACTCTAATATAGTACCCTAAATAGCAGGATCCTTATTACAAGGACCCCCAAATAGGGTACCCCTAATTTTCGGAAACTCCCAAATGCCCGTCGACATGGCATCTTCCAGCTCAAACAGGAGATCTTCACCACAAGCCCTAATATAGGGGCCTTAAACAGTAGGAATGGGGTTTCGGGGTCCATTATACCCGAAATAAATTAGAATAAGGACCCCCCCCAAAAAGTATTAGTAGTGATTAGAGGCCCCTATGTTAAGCACAAAGGACTATCCGGGAAGCACCCCCCGAAGCCAAAAACCCTGAAGCTTTGAAGCCTTGAAGCTCAGCTCAGATACCCTATTTGGGGATCCTTATTGCTTAGGGTACTATATTAGGGTCCCCTATTTTGGGTTTAGGGTTTAGGGTTTTTGGGAAACTCCCATTTAAAGCCAGGAGTCCTGGGCGGCGTAGAGCAGGCCCAAGGCAAGGCGACTGGAGGCCTGCTTCTCCCGATCGTCGACCACCACAGCCTTCAGAAAGCTTGGATCTTGGGTTCCACATGGGAGTTTCCGAAAATAGGGGACCCTCATCTAGTACCCTAAATTGTAGGATCCTTATTATAAGGACCCCAAAATGAGGTACCCCTAATATTCGGAAACTCCCATTTTTAGGCTCCTTAAGGAATCTGTAAGGGTTCTACAATGGTTTATAGGTATGGCACCCAAAAGTCCACGACAGCCTTCGGAAATCTCGGATCTTGGGATCATTTGGGTGGTTGTTAAAATTGTAGCCCCTTTTGGGGGTACCCTAAATAATAGGGGCCGTGCTATAATAGGGGCCCCAAAAAGGGGCCCTAATTTTGACAACCACCCGTTTTTAAGGCCTTCATCATTGGAACAGGGTTTTGGGGTATGTTGTAGCGTGTTGATATGCAGGATGGGTTCAGAAGGGTTACCTGCTGTTCGGCTTTCAGGATTTCTTGCAACGGGCGGAACTTAGGCATTGGCGTGGTTCTGCTGGTTTTTTGATTTTTGCCGCTTTCGGGCGCTCAAGCTGAAAGATGGGCACATGGGCCCTGATCCCTGAACCCGGGCTCCATCGGATCTTCTGTTACAGTGCTCTAAAACCCCAAACCCTGCAACCCTAAGTCCCTACGTGCCTAAATCTAAAACCCTAAGTCCCTAAAACCCTAAGTCCCTAAGTCCCAAATCCCGAAAGCCCCCTAAATGCCCCTATATAAATCCCAAAGCCCGCAAGCCCCAAGCCCCTAAACCCCTAAACCCCTAAGCCCCTAAACCCTAAACCCCCTAAAACCCCCTAAACCCTAACTAGGAGCCGCCAGGTTGTTTCGGTCCCCAAGTCCCTAAATCCCCAAGCCCCGAAACCCCAAAGCCCAAAACTGAAGCCGGGCCTTGACTTCAACAAAGGAGTCGGTGCCTCCACGTGCCCACAGGTCCGTGTGCTTCAGCACCCCGATGGCATCCTTAGGGTTCAGGGATTAGGGAGTAAGGTTTAAGGATTACTCACTGGCCCAAAACCCAAGGAAATAAAAGTTGAAACTTTCAGAATCGACTACCTTAGAAGATCACCAAAAGTTGAAAAGTTAAGTTTACAGCCAATAAGATTAGGGTTTAGGGATTAAGGTTTAGGGAGTAAGGTTTAGGGTATAGGGATTAAGGTTTAGGGAGTAAGGTTTAAGGATTAGGGGCTTAGACATGAAAACCCTGATGTGTTAAGGATTTATGGCAAAGTTTACGATTTAGAGCCTCTCCCTACAACATCGATACCCTTTCAAGCACTCGCTGGAGGATGGACCGGATCCAGGAAAAAAGCTCCAAGTCGTGGGGAACCGGACGTAAATACCCTTTCCCGTTTGCACAGCCCGAAAGCCCTAAATCCCAGAGCGAAACCCTTAACCCTACACTCTGAAACCCAAAACCCTGCACGCTACACTTTAAACCGCACTCCCACTTTGGAACCGTTAACAACCTCTAAATCCCTTTTAAGATCCAGAGTCCAGAGGCTTGGGAACTCCAAGCCCGTTTTTGCAACCCTTATACCACCTCCCTTTTCGAAACCCTCAGCCCTAAAACCCTAAACCCTAAACCCTAAACCCCTAAACCCTAAAACCCCAAAATCCTAAAAACCCCAGAACCCTAAACCCTAAAACCCTAAACTCCCTAAACCCTAAACCCTAAAACCCCAAAACCCTAAACACCCTAGAACCCTAAACACCCTAAACACCCTAAAACCAAGAAACTCTAAAACCCTAAACCCTAAAACCCTGAACCTTGAAACCACGGAGCTAGAGGCTTCGGAAACTCCAGGAGCCGCATCTCTTCGACTTGGGCCTCTTGTTCCGGCTCGAGTCCAGCCAAAGTCACATCGTAGAGCCGATCCCCATTCTCCTGGGTGTTTGGGCTTTAGGGTTTGGGGTTTTTGGGCTTTAGGGTTTTTGGGGTTTGGGGGGTTTAGGGGTTTAGGGTTTAGTTTGTCTTTGAACGCCTTTTTCCTAGTGTCTGCAGCTGCGTTTACGGTTTAGGGTTTTTTCTGTCTGGTTCTTAGTAGGGAATGGGCGAATGGGTTACAGGGACTAGTATAGGGGACCTTAAGGGGCTATCATAAGGATCCATTCCCCCATTTCACCAGACAGCTTTGGGCGTGGGGTTTAGGCTGGCTGGGGCGTTCTGCGATTGCAGGATTTAATGCTGTTTTGCAGTGCTTTTGCGGCTTTAGGGTTTTAGTGCTTTAGGGCTTGAGAGTACGGTTTCAGGTTGCAGGGCTTCAGGGTTGTGGGGGAAGGGGTTCAAAAACCACGTACGCTTCTGTCAACAGGGAAGAAAAGCTTTCGTGTTCTACAATGTCCTCATGTTTCTTTTTTCAGGGCTTTCATTGTGTATGTGATTCATTTGTTGGTTTCGATTACTCCTTTCATTTCACAGGGGGCTTTCATTGTTTATAATGTGTTTCCTTTTTGTGTATCTCAGCTCTAAAAGGGGCTTCAATGTTTCGCTTTTCGGCCTACTTGTCGGGTATCATGGGGAACTGGAGGTCAACCTCTTTGGTTATATAGGGATTATACACAGCGACTATACTACCCAAAAAAGGTTAAAGGTTACCTACTCCACTACTAGGTACAGTTTGGTATAGTATAGTACCGTAGAGTATAGTACTTATAGTACATTATAGTATACAGTATAGTATATATATATATATATATATATATATGTATGTATGTATATATAATACATTATGGTGTAGTATAGCATCGCATAGCATAGCTACTAGGTCGGGCTAAGAGCCCAGGTTCGAAGACGTAGATCGGCTCTGGCGACCTCCTGCGGAGCTCCTCCAGTTGGCCTTGCCTCGCATTTTACGTACGGTGGGGGGCTTAGGGTTTAGGGGTTTAGGGGATTTGGGGTTTAGGGGATTTGGGGTTCAGGGTTCTAGCCTTCTAGGCGAAGATCACGATGCTTCCGAGAACTAGAGCTCGAAATCCCAAGCACATCCCCACCAGAAATTGAAGCAGACCCCACGCCCAGCAGAGCAAGGCCCAGCTACGAGACCTCAAAGGGGCTCCCTGAAGCCCCCTAAACCCTGAACCCAGGATCCTCATAGACCTGATCACAACCCTGAACCAGAGCCCCCTACCGTCAAATTCTACGAGGAGTCCGCCTATTCAGCAGAATTTTTGGGCTCACACTCCGATCAAATCAAGTCGCGCGGTGCTGAACTCAAGCTGCTCCTCTGTCGCTGGGGCTTTCCACTGCTCCTTTAGAACCTGGGCCACTTTAGCAACCCTAGGCCCTGAACCGGAAAAATAGGCTTTGGGCCTTATAGTAAACTCCATAAAGTCGGAAACCGGAGTAAGGCCAAATAGTGCTGGGATTCCCTCTACGTTACTCTTAAGGATCGAGGCTATGGGGTTTCCAACTTTTGGGCTTCTACTTTATATTTCTTGTGGCTTAGGAAACCGTTTAGGGGCATTTCGGAAGCTAAGGCTTCCCTTAACCCCACGTAACCTACCTTTTTAAGGACTTTTATATTGGGGAACCCTAAAAAGGTAGGTTCCTTAGGGTTCAGGTCGAGTTTGAGATTTTGCATTTGTCATTCTTTTGGTTCACTGGTTCTGCTCGCAGAGCCCTCCCTTTAAGGGATCCTGTAAGGGCTCCTTAACAGGATCTATAAGGGTTCTATTAAAGGTTTAGGGTTTAGGGCTTCCGAAAATTAGGTCCAGATGCGGGCCTTAGTCGTTTTTACTTGGGTTCGGGGTTAGATTGTAGCGTATGATTGGGGCTTAAGGCTTAGATTGTAGTACGAATATACCAGAGGCTCAAAAGGGCTTGCGACGGTAAGTTTAGGAGAATCGGCAATATAAGCGCAACAATGAAAAAGTGCTGATCCCTGCATGTCTGTGCCTCATACTCGTTATTCAAACACAGAACTACATGCAGACGTAGACATTGGGAAGTAACAAGGCGCATGCACTTGGCCTCAGAACAAGGAGGGTGCAGCACATGCTCAACTCAGACAGAGCCGCAAAGCTTTGGCTCGTTGTGATAACAGTTGTGTTCCATGTTTGCTATAGTGCTTTGTCAAAACACCCCCACGAGCTAATATAGGTAAACTATTGTAGAGTTTCGTCTCGGGTGCACGCAAACCCGATCCGGGCTCGAGTGGGAGTCGGCGTAGGAACGACAATAAGTACGAGCGGCGAAAAGCAAGCGTTGAGAAGGCTTTTGAGACTACGATAAAAAGAAAAAACGATGTGATAATCTCACCAAATCAAAGACCCCGGCGGACCCCTAAACCGAAAACCTCCTATACCCTGAACCCTAAACTCCTCAAACTCCGCAATTTCCCTAAACTCCCTGAAGCCCCAAATCCCGAACCCCCCAAAACTCAGAAACCTGCCCAGAGAGCCTTGGCCAGCCTTGATGTTTTCATCATCGCAGTGAACTCCTCGGCATCTAAAGCCGAGCTCATGTCTTTGTCGAACTCTCGCATCAGCCCATCAGCCTCGCAACTCCATGCTCCGCAGGGTTTAGGGTTTGGGGGTTCGTGGACCAAGTACCAGGGGATCAGAGCTCAGACGCTTCAAGCTAGTCTGAAGGCATGGTGCTCTCCGCGCTATCCCCTGCAACATGCTCCCAAATCGAGACCCCTGAAGTCCGAGCAAAGCCATGGAAGCACCCCGGCTTGCCACTGAGTGGATGCGGCCTCTTCGCCGACCATATCCTCAAAGACAGGCGTACCCGTAAAGAGATAAAGCTCCGACAGCAGCGGTCGGAGCTCCCCGGCACTGATAGTACCTCGGCACACTTCTCCCAAAAGCCTCTTACTCCACCGAGCTTCTGCTGCTAGTGCTAGTGCTACTGCTACTGCTGCGACGACTGCTACGACGACGACGACTACTACTGCTACTACTATTACTGCTACTACTACTACTACTACTCCTGCTACTACTACTACTACTACTACTACTACTACTACTACTACTACTACTACTACTACTACTACTCCTACTGCTACTACTAGGGAGCTGCTGCTCACCATTACCACCTTCGCGACCACGACAACTACCGCCGCCAGCACCACCGCTTAAACTATCCACCGCCACAGCCACGGCTGCTACTACAGCGACTCCTTGTTGAGTCTGCTACTTCTACCTGGTACATACCAGTGGGACAATGCATGACGTCCCCATGCCAGAGCTGATGTTGCTGCTTGGGACAACAGACCATGCTAGCAGAGATGGGCGAAAAATGTGGAGACGACGCAGAACGGGAGTATGACCATGACAGCACTTTTGATGTTACTTGTGTTGGCCGGTCATGATGCCCCAGGGGTTTTGTAGGACCATGATGGTTATATTGAGGAGACCACTGTCGGTCTAGGCTGATACAGAAAATAGCCCATGGCCCATGACTGTTGTTTACATGCTGATGAGGACTGTCCCATGATAGCGATAACACGTACATCGATGACGACAACGATACCGGTGCATAAAGGCAAAAGATTAACGGTGATGATGGCCGGTAACAGGAATGTGAGGGCTGAAGCAGATGCTGCTGTTTCTGCTGTTGCTGTTGACATCGTCCTCGTCGCCACCCTGCCCCCTGCGCTCGTCGTTGTCGGCGTCGTCGTCTCGGCTTCAAGTTCTGTTCTTGCTTCTGTTGACCGTGGCATGGAGAACGCGCAGGAAGCACAAACCTAGGGGATGGGGTTCTTGGGTGTTCCATGGAGAAAACAGCCTGGTATTAGATGTCCAAGACTGACCACGTCTTGGCACACAGCAGTCCTGAATCGTGCCTTTTTGGGGTATGGGCACTTCAGTCTGAGGCCATGGACCACTTCCGTCGACATCTGCGCGAGTAAATAGATCAATTACCTGGGCTCGCTTGCTCCTGCTGCGTTTCTTCCTTTGCCTCTGACAGAAACATCAACTTCACGTAGAAATGAAATTCAACCCCAGTACGCACCCAGCACGCAAGGGCCTGAATTTGTGAACTGAGCGAGTTTACATGCTATGGGCTTGGAGCATGCTTTCTTTTTGCAGTTCAACCTGACCGATAGTGGCGCTGATTCTGACGATGGTTGCTAGTCTTATGTAGCCCGGCCGTGGTATCTGAACAGGACTTGGGGATCACAACAGAGTCGACTATAGGGGGCCTTCGGGGCCCATTATGCTAATCATAATAGGCAAGCCCCAAAATAACATTGGCAATTATTTAAGCCCCTATTTTACCGGCAAGATCGAGAGGCCAGCTCCACAAGCTCACCGGAGAAAGTCTCAGCCAATGGCCCATGCAGGGCTTCGGCAGCAGCAGCAGTCATGGCTTTCCGTTGAAATGTATTCTGATATACTATGAGTTGTCTGGTTTCGGGACATGTATATGCCGGGGGTTCGATTGCTTGGGGAGATAGAACCCAAGAATCCACCCCAACTGGGCTCGATTTGATTCGGACTTCTCAGCCAAAAGAAATCTTACACCATCTGAAAAGCTTGCAGCCAAACTGAAGCTGCAGCTTGTCTTAGAACTTAGCGCGGAGAGGCCCGATCTCCTGGGTGCAACTGGCTTTGATAAGCTTTGGCACTCCCTCTGGAGGCATGGCTTCAATGCTCTTAGGTGATTTTGTGCTTTGGACCTTCTTCCCTTGAAGCCTCAACCCCACACTCCCACACCCTGACCTTTTGCTGCAAAACCTCTGTCAAGACACATTCATTCCGGATTCCACTCCAGCATGGTTTTGCCACACACATCGTAACGTTAGGGTTTAGGGCTTTGGCTTGAGGGTTGAAGGCTTTAAGGGCTTAGAGCAGAATCCATGAAGCCATTCCTGCGGCGCACTTTTGGAAAAGGCGGGGTTCATCCTGAGCTTGAACCAATCTTCAATCCGGAATCCCTAACCCTCAAAGAATTCAAACCTCAACTCGCAACGATTTATTCTTAGGGCTTAGGGTTCAGGGTTTTTTTAGTGCAGTGGACCCTTTCAAGGGCTCAGGGTGTTCTTCTTTCTTCCGATCTCGCCTGACAGCACCGTGGTCGCTCCATCCAATGTATTGGTTCCTCATTCGAGGAACGGCGAGTGTTGGAAACCAAGCCCTCAACCTTCGCCAAGGGCTCGGCAGGAAAATTGCTTAGATGTACGACCGATTCGACGACGATTGTAAAGAAGACAACCATTAAGTCATTAAGACTATGACGATCATGATGACAGCGCCTCGAGACATATGAATCCATCCCAACCCCTCCAGTCCTAGGAATTTGCCTTGCGGAGACTTGTAGAAATCAATCCCCCGCACGGCCTGGCGTATGTCCATTTGGAACATCGGGCTTCGGCATCAATGAAGGGTTTGGGTTTTAAAATTAAAAAATTCAGGGTATAGGGGTTTAGGGTGTAGGGGTTTAGCGTGTAGGGGTTTAGGGTCAAGTTTAGATTTAGAATTTAGGGGTCTAGGGCTTCGGGATTCATGAGGGTTTAGGCATTGAATGAGGTCCGGGGTCTAGGCCGGCTTAGGGTCTAGTTCAGGACTTCATGCCGAAGAGCTCAAGCTCCGTGCTAGAGGCTTCTACTGCTCGGCTCGCGTGTTCAAGTCAACCGCCACAGGATGGCGGCGACCGTCCACCATGAAAGCATTGAGATCACACTCAGGAGAAGTCCCCGGTCGTTTTGACGGAAGACGTAGAGTTGGATCATGTAACAAGCGACGTGGAACATTAAGGCCGCGATCACGACGGCCAGCGATAGCAAGAAGTCCAAGTACAGCCTGCGACATCGTGCTCTCCAGCGGTAGCACAGGCGGAAGGCCAGTTTGTCCATCAAGGGTATGATCGCCAGGAAATAGGTGAGCGTCTGGGCTAGATCGACTACCTGTCGGCTGGGATCGCCAGCGTTGCTAGCTGCATGCCCAAGACGAATCCAGACATACGGAGTAAACACTTGCAAAGCGCGCTGATAAGAGAAGGCGTTGTGCGCAAGCTGATCGATGATGGCCATCCGCACTTCAGTTTGCACATGCAATTCAAAGCTGTCCAGTGATTTGTACCACGCAGCGATGCACTCCAGAATGATCTCGCGGTCGCATAGAACAGACTTATCTTCGTGGCCGTGGTCGCAGCAAGCGCTTCGGGCATGCTCGACCTTGAAATCACGGAGTTGCTTTTGCAGCGTGTCAACGCTGCGGGCATAACCTCGAAGAGCATGTGTCACGAAGCCGAAAAGCAGCCCAAGAAGACCAACGAGCATTATATATAGTTCTCCCGCGACTATTGCCTCGTCTGAAGATGCCAACGAAGATTCAATGTAGAAATATACCACGGCTAGCACGGAGAACAGCATCTCACAGCCCAGAAGCGCTGGCCCTAGCAGGGGAGGAATAATCTGTAGATCTGCCTTGCAACCGGGACTGCGGCTGTGTAGGAATCCAGCGACTTCGAAGATGCACCACCTTGATGTAGGGGGTGTTAAGAGTTAGAATAGGGTTTTGGGGCCCGCTATACTATGACTTATAATAAGGAACTATATTGTAAGGGCCTTAAGAGTTAGAATAGGGTTTTGGGGCCCAGTATACTATAACGATTATAAGGAATCCCAGAATAGTGCTGGTAACTATTTAGGCTCCTATATTAAGTGAGACCGAAGTGAGTCCAAGTCACAGTCTTGTGACCCAAGTAGGATCCCAGAGAACCAGCATGGAAGTCGATTGTTTCAAAAACGCACCCATACTTATGATCGCCTCTCCCTTTCTGTCTTCGTCAGTTTGGTGGATGCATGCGATATCTAGAAACACCAGCTTTCGCGGACGCCAAAGCAGCAGGGTGATGCAAAAGGCTACAATCCCGAAGAGGAGGCACCATCCCTGTCTTGCAGCCGGAAATCCTACTGAGACGAAGCCGCAGGCTATGCTAGCACTAAATGCTCCTGCTATGCTTGCCGGCATGCAGTTATGCAGGTAAAGTATGTTGGCATACTTGGTCCACCGTGACCCCCGCCAGCTGTGGGACCAAAACTGATCGAACTGCGTTGCCTGCTGACTCAATCCATGCAGATCGTCGAGCTTGTCTCGTAGCCATGCCGACGGCAAGCAACGCAATAGCTTCCAAACGTGGACTCCACGCAGTATTTCTGGCCGCGTGGCCTCCATCTGGTTGATAAACGCAATGCAGCACTGCACTAGCTGCTGGCCGGCTCTGTCGTCAGAATTTTCATCCGAAGCATCTGAAAATTCACGGGGAACGTCGTCGTGAACGCCGAGCGTTGCCTCTGCAGCAATCGCCGCTGGCTTGCCCAGAACTGTCTCCGAGCCTTGCGGCATGGCACTGGCGACCTCATGCAGTCACCGCCTCAATGCTGGTGAGAGACATACAGGGGCGCAGTGACTAGAGTAGGGTTCTGGGTTATCGGGTTCTGATATTATAGTAAACAGTATAGTCAAATTCTTCCGGCACCTATACGACATGCGGTACTCTGCCTTGTCATGTTGCAGAGAAGGCCTCTGAGCTAGGAACACTACGGAGACCACAAGTCTGCAAAATGCAAAACCTGAACCTCCCAAGAACATACCGCCATGTGGTGAGGGTTTAGGGTTTAGGGTTTGGTGGTCTGGTCCAGTCAGACTTCGCTACCTACCATTCGAACCCCAAGCAGCCCCAACTAACAGTCGTGAGGGTTCCGGATCACGTGTAGCGAAGTCTAGAGCCATTTGGAATCCGAAAGTGCTGGTGAGGGCTCTTAGGACTTCGTGTAGTCGGGTTCCCAGTCCGCTCCAACCTGACCGTGCCCAAATACGAAGTCCCGAACCCTAAACCCCCAAACCCCCAAACCCCAAACCCCCCAAACCCCCAAAACCCCCAAACCCCCAAACCCCCAAACCCCCAAACCCCCAAACCCCCAAAACCCCCAAACCCCCAAACCCCCAAACCCCCAAACCCCCAAACCCCCAAACCCCCAAACCCCCCAAACCCCCAAAACCCCCAAACCCCCAAACCCCCAAACCCCCAAACCCCCAAACCCCCAAACCCCCAAAACCCCCAAACCCCCAAACCCCCAAACCCCCAAAAACCCCAAACCCCCCAAACCCCCAAAACCCGCAAACCCCCAAAACCCCCAAAGCCCTAAACCCAACCCCTGAGCCTTTGAACTTCAGGTTTCTCTCCTGAGGCTTCGTCCTGAGCGGCTTGCTTGTCCTTAGGGTTTAGGGGTTTAGGGTTTAGGGGTTTAGGGTTTAGGGGTTTAGGGTTTAGGGGTTTAGGGTTTAGGGGTTTAGGGTTTAGGGGTTTAGGGTTTAGGGGTTTAGGGTTTAGGGGTTTAGGGGTTTAGGGTTTAGGGTCCCTTCCAGGGAACGCCTGACGGCTCTTTGGCCACTGGGTCGTATAGCTTCCTCCAGAAAGCCAGACCGTTGAAAATCAAACCCTCGACATTTTTGCCGAGGGCCTAGGTGGAAAACGCAACTGCAAACACGAGGGTTGCGATGCTGCTACTCACGGTAAAGGTTTCAAGATGTTATGGTAACGTTGACTTGCTGCCATGGAACGCAACTGGTAAAGTAGCTCCCTCCTAACTCGAATCCGAAGTCTCTAACCCGTGAGTCTTCAAAAAGCTCGCCTGGCCGCAGTGAGTCGAAAAGGTTCTCTTGAAACACGAGTGATGATGACGCCGACGATTGTTATGATGTTCATGATAACGATGCTGAAGATGGGTGGTTGTCAAAATTGTGGTCCCTTTGGGTCCCTAATATAATACGGCACCTAATATTTAGGGCACCCCAAATTGGGACCCCAATTTCAACAACTACCCAGATGCTCGTGATGAAGACTTTACCTCAAAGCTGCAGTCAGCAGGAATCTCGCATGTCCATAGTATCAGTCAGAGGTTCACGGCCTGATGTTTAATGGAGGAGCCCTGATAGTTAGAATAGGGTTTGGGGCTCCTTTATCGTAGAGTCATAATAAGGGTTCCTGCCGAATAAAGTTGGGAATTATATATATATATATATATATATATATATATATATATATATATTTAAGCTTCTATAGTAAGACTCCAATCCAAGGGTTGAAGGGCTCTGACTTGAAGCCAGGTCAGCTCGTGAACTCAGATGAACCGCCACAGGATGGCGGCGACAGTCCACCACGAAAGCATTGAGATCACACTCAGGAGAAGTCCCCGGTCGTTTTGACGGAAGACATAGAGTTGGATCGCGTAACAGACGATGTAGAATGACAAACCCACGATCACGACGGCCAGCGATAGCAAGAAGTCCAAGTACAGCCTGCAACATCGTGCTCTCCAGCGGTAGCACAAGCGGACGCCCAGTTTGTCAACCAAAGGGAAGATTGCCAGCAGGTAAGTAAAAGTCTGGGCCATGTCGACTGCCTGTCGGGTGGGATCGCCTGCATGGCTAGATGCATAATGAAGACGAAGCCAGACATACGGAGTTGAAAGAAGTACGATGCGTTGATAAGAGATGGCTTGGTATGCAAGCTGATCAGTAATGGCCAGCCGCACGTCAGTTTGCCTTAGTTGCTGAATTTATGAGCCCCAAAAAGTGTACACTTTCAGTTTTATAGTGGGTGATACTATCCCCAAAAGTGTAAAGTGTATCCACTCAGCTACTAAGTTGCACTTGCAGTTCAAAGCTGTCCAGCGAGCTGTACCACGCTGCGATGCACGTGTGAATGACCTTCCGGTCGCAAGTCAGACGAGCAGAACCTGGCTTGGCCTTTTGACACCCTGAAAAAAAAAATATATATATATATATATATAGGGTCCCTTATAAACCCAAATAAGGAAAAAATGTCCCAAAATCCAACCTAGAAACTGCTTCTATGCACCCCGTCGCAGCAAGCCGATCTCGCATGTTCAACCTTGAACCCGCGGAGTTGCTCTTGCAAGGTATCGATGTTGCGGCCGTATCCGCGTAAAGCATGGGTCACGAAGCTCACGAATAGCAGGACGTGAGCGGATGAGACCAGCAAGTAGAGCTCTCCCACGAGTATTCCATCTTCTGACATGGAGGATTCTATGTAGTTGTAGATGATGCAGGCTATGCAGAAGAGCATTTCACATCCCAGAAGCGCCGGGCCCAACAAGGGAGGAACGATTTGAAGGTCCGCCTTGCAACCGGAACTGCGGCTGTGTAGAAAGGCGGCGATTTCGAAGATGCACCACCTTTGTCTTCTGGACTCGGGACTGCAAAATCATCAAACAAAAGCCCCTAAACTCTAAACGGTTTTGCGAGGGACTCAAACCACAGGGCTCTAAACCCGAAGGCCGCAGCTGACCATACAAAATTAGGACAAAACATGACAGATGAGCATGCGCTTGACACATGAAGACAATTATGGTACACGTTTTGGAAGATGCTTTCAATGATTCTAGAGCCGTCCAAGAGGAAATTACATGCTTTTAACGGCTTTGCACGGCATTAGAAGACTTCAAGGGGTGTCAAAAGACGTAAATGGCTTTGCATCATGTTTGGGGGACTTCACCGCCTCGAGGCCCGATCGCACCAACCGTTGCCTCTAAGCCCGAAACCCCAAAAACCGGACCCAATGCATGTGGTTCAGACTTGGTGTTCAAGACACGTGCGGAGTTTTTCCCGAGGTCTTGCCACTGTTATAATGTAATGGCTGCTGAGGTTCAACGAGACTCAAAAAGATCTTGTGGTGGTGGTGGTGGTGGTGGTGGTGGTGGTGGCGGTGGCGGTGGCGGTGGCGGTGGTGGGTGGTGGCGTCCAACTTCTTTGAAAGCAAAGACGATTGAACAAGAATTTGCCGCAAAGATTGATAGAGACGTGGCATGTGTAACTGTATGAGTTTCGCATTTGGCAAAACCCTGGGCTGGGGGTTTTAAGCCATGGGGTTCTATAGTATAGGGTCTTAAGAATTAGAATAGGGTTTTGGGGCCCATTGCACCATAAATCTGATAAGGAACCCCCAAAATAGGTTAGGTAATTATCAACGCACCTATACCATAGTACCCTTACAGTATCCCTTATAGTCCCCTTGGAAGGAACCCTCTAGACCCTGGCTCCGGAGTTTCGTGAGGCGGGGTAGAATGGACAAACAAGGCCGAAACATGTGGGTGGTTGTCTAAATTAGGATCCCTTCTTGGGCACTCTAAATATTAGGTGCCGTATTATAATAAGGACCCAAAAAGGGACCCTAATATTGACAACCACCTATGTGTGGGCAGACTGAGTCAGGATCTATCGATCTATCTATTCCCGTCAGCATACCCATCTCGTTCTATGTCCTGTTGGTCTTTCAAAGAAAGAGGGGTTCAAACCCTTCGGACTGGGACGTTGCTTGCGAATCGTGCTTCTTTGGGGGGGAGGTCCCAAACAGTGCCAGACCACGGCCATGTACACCCCGACAGAAAGGACCACCAAAGGATTACGACCACCACAAGAGAAGCAAGACGATCAGGACCACCAGCACCACCACCACACGAACACGATGACCACATGACCACCACCGGGAGACCAACACTGGAAAAATCGTATTTGCCCCAAGGCATTCAGTGTGGCTGCGGGCACCCCAAAATCGTTCCCCCGGTTCGAGAGCCAAAACGAAGTCAACTCTCTGTAATTTCCGATGAATCACGAGTCCCTGGAGGACAGGGCCGCAGCAGGACTCGAGCCACAGCGGAGCTGCGCAATACGTTTATCCGAGGGTACGACACACTGCTTGGGGAATAAACACACACACATATGTGTATATATATATATATATATACGTATATATATATATATATATATAAGTATATATATATATATAAGTATATATATATATATATATATATATATATATACGTGACAAGACAAACAACAAGAAACAAAGACAGCTCAAGGCACGTGGGTGCAACACCTGACAAAAAGGTGGTTCAAGTTGCAAGATAACTCATGAGTACTAGCGTGTTACTTGCGAAGCTGAACAGAATCCAGGTCACAGTCTGCTCGCCCACGTAGGATCCCACAGAACCAGCATGGACTTCGACTGCTTTAAAAATGCACCCATACTCAGAAGAGCTTGTCCCTTTTGGTCTTGGTCCGCTTGGTTAATGCACGCGATGTCTAGAAATACGAGCTTTTGCGGATGCCAGAGTAACAGGGTTGTACAAAAGGCGACGAACCCGGACAGCAAGCACCATCGCTGCTGTACATCCAGAAAGCCAGCAGAGACGAGGCCACAGGCTATGCTGGCGCTCAATGTTCCTGCTATGCTTGCCGGCATGCAGTTATGCAGGTAAAGTATGTTGGTGTACTTGGTCCACCCCGAACCCTGCCAGCTGTGGGACCAAAACTGATCGAACTGCGTGGCTTGCTGACTCAATCCGTGCAGATCGTTGCGCTTGCCTCGTAGCCACAGCGACGGCAAGTAACGCAACAGCTTCCAAACACGGACTCCACGTAGGATTTCTGGCCGCGTCGCCTGCATGTCGTTGATGAAAGCAATGCACCGTTGCATCAGCTCGACAACTCTGTCGTGATCTGCCTCCTCCTCTGAAGAGTCCGGAAATTCAGGTGGAATTTTGTCGTCAGTGCCGACCGACACCTCTGGATCAATATCCTGCGGATCGAACATATCGTCGTGCTTGCCCAGCACTGTCTCAGAGCTTTGCGGCATGGCTCGGTGGACCTTGGGCGGTCACTGCCTCAAGGTGGTACGGACTAGCCTTCTACACACCCACACTTCGGCGAGTTATTCCACCCTGCCACGTGCTGACCATGCCTCATAGTACTGAACTCCAGACGACCTGCATCCCTCAGGAGAGCGTTGGCTTATCAGAAAGCTCCTCTGTTTGCTACATCCTAGTCTGTTGGGTTCGAGACGAAGCGACAATACACAAAGCGCCATGATCTGGCAGAGCAGGCAGCAAGCATGCGAGAGGCACGTGGAAGACTTATTCGTCGGCGCTGCAGATCGACAAAAGAGGATTCGCTTCTTGAGTACATCCCTCGCGGCTGCTCATTGCACCAAACCCTGATTCAGTTCGGAACTCAGACTCCCAGATAGCGAGAAGAAGACTGTGAGACGTTTGCCTTGCTTACTCAAATGCTTGTGGCTTTTCTACTACGTGTCTTGACCTTCGTAACGCCGGGTTTGTGTTCCATGGCAGCAGACTGGTCACGTGACAGGTTGATTACTAACTCGAACACATATATACTTGATTGCCGGTTGAGAGATGTTAGGTAGCATCGGTAGCTTCCACTCTGAAACAACATTCTTCTCAGTCAACATCGCACACATTCACACATGCCAACATGGGAGTTTCCAAAATTAGGGGTACCTTATTTTGGGATCCTTATTATAAGGATCCTACTATGTAGGGTACTATGTTAGGGTCCCCTATTTTCGGAAACTCCCACATGAAACCCGGCAACACAAGACCCGGCAACACCGCCCGCCAGCATAGGCAGAAGGCAAGCGCAAGAGAAGAAGGAGAATGATGGGAGGCCAAAAGGGGTGGGTTAAGATAGGGATTCCTGAAAAAAGAGCCCTATTATGGGAACCCTAATCCCTGCTAACCCCCCATAGGCTAAGACCCCTTTTTGCCTCCTATGAGAGAAGCCCCGGCACCGCAGGGTTCGACACCGCCACCGGCGGTGTCAGGCGAACTCTTGGATTGAGATTCTGAGGCTACTAAAAGCCCCAAGCCCTAAGGTTCAGGGATGAACCGCACAACCGAAGCTCTACTAACGCCCTAGGTCGGTAAGCATGGTGCGAACGAGGGCTTGCTGTATATCGTATTTGCTAAGGATGCACGGAGTGCACTTACTTGTCTTCGGGCCCACAAACTGGGCTTAGGGTTTATAGGGTTTAGGGTTTAGGGCGATCCGAAAGCTTGAGCGTTCAAGCTGAAACCCTAAATCCTTAAACCACGTACCACTCAAACCCTTAAGCCTTAAATCCTAAGCTAATTCCCAGGTCCGAAGCCCCACACTGGTATAGGGACCTGAGCACTCAGACAATTGCTGGCATAAAAGCAAAATCGTAGCAAGGAGAAGTTGTAACCATTCAGGCTTCTATATTGACAGACCGGGCTCTCCTTTGTCACCCGAGCTCGTCTGACCTTTCTTTGGCCACTTGGTCGTATAGATGGACACCCGGCAGTTTAAAAGGACACCCTCGACATTTGGCCATAGATCTGGGTGGAACACGCTATGTATGTTAAGGATGCAGATGGATGCAGACTGAGGAGAATACTGTAGCTGTTGTCAACCCTGCTGGAAGTGTAGGCCTTGGGCCGTCACGTCAGTCTCAGCTTCAGGGTTTCTCTAAGACTTCAGGCTCAAAGGTCAGGGCTGACGGCCTGCGATTTCAAGGCGGTTCGGGTCTCGCGCTCAGATGAATCGCCAGAGGATGGCCGCGACCGTCCACCATGAAAGCATTGAGATTACACTCAGGAGAAGTCCGCGGTCGTTTTGACGGAAGACGTAGAGTTGGATCGCATAGCAGACGACGTAAAGCATGAAGGCACCGATCACGATGACCATCGAGAGCAAGAAATCCAAGTATGGCTTGCAACATCGTGCTCTTAGGCGGTAGCACAAACGGAAGCCCAACTTGTCAACCACAGGGAAGATTGCCAGCAAGTAAGTAAAAGTCTGGGCCAAGTCGACTACCTGCCGGATGGGATCGCCTGCGTGGCTGGCTGCATACTCAAGACGAAGCCAGACATACGGAGTTGAAAGAAGCAAGACGTGTTGATAAGAGAGGGTGTTGTGTGCAAGCTCATTGATGATGGCCAGTCGCACTTCAGACTGCACTTGCAACTCAAACCTGTCCAGTGATTTGTACCATGCTTCGATGCACTGCAGCAGGACCTCTCGGTCGCATAGAACAGACTTGTCTTCATGGCCGCGATCGCAGCAAGCGCTTCGGGCATGCTCGACCTTGAAGTCACGGAGTTGCTCTTGCAGCGTTTCAACGCTGCGGGCATAACCTCGAAGAGCGTGTATCACGAAGCTTAGGAACAGCACAACATGCAGGCCAATGACCATCAAATAGAGCTCCCCCACGAGTATTGACCCTTCCGAAGAAGCCATGGAGGATTCTACGTAGAGAAAGATCATGCAGACTGCGCAGGCCAGCACCTCACCTCCCAGAAGCGATGGCCCCAACAAGGGAGGAACGATCCGAAGGTCTGCCTTGCAACCGGGACTGCGGCTGTGTAGAAAGGCGGCGATTTCGAAGATGCACCACCTTTCTCTTCTAGAGTCCGGAGTAGGAAAGCAGGATTTCTTTGCGTGCAGGTTTGCTGTGCAAGGTACCTTATAGTTTCTAGTGGTGTACTAGCCAAACTGAATTGAATCCAGGTCACAGTCTGCTCACCCACGTAGGATCCCACAGAACCAGCATCGACTTCGACTGCTTCAAGAATGCACCCATACTTAAGAGGGCTTGTCCTCTTCGACCGTTGTCAGTTTGATGAATGCAGACGATGTCTAGAAATACGAACTTTCGCGGATGCCAGAGTAACAGGGTTGTACAAAAGGCGACAAACCCGGACAGCAAGCACCATCGCTGTTGTACATCCAAAAAGCCAGCAGAGACAAGGCCGCAGGCTATGTTGGCGCTCAATGTTCCTGCTATGCTTGCCGGCATGCAGTTATGCAGGTAAAGTATGTTGGTGTACTTGGTCCACCCCGAACCCTGCCAGCTGTGGGACCAAAACTGATCGAACTGCGTGGCTTGCTGACTCAATCCGTGCAGATCGTTGCGCTTGCCTCGTAGCCACAGCGACGGCAAGTAACGCAACAGCCTCCAAACACGGACTCCGCGGAGTATTTCTGGCCGCGTCGCCTGCATGTCGTTGATGAAGGCAAAGTGCCGTCGCACCAGCTGGACAATTCTGTCGCGCTCTGGATCTTCCTCTGAAGCTTTTGACTCTGGAAATTCAAGTGGAACGTGGTCCTCCAATTCAGTCAGTTCGGGCTTGCCCAGAACTGCCTCGCGGCTGTGCGACATGGCTGAATGGCTGGGCCACTGCCTCAGAGTGGTGGGAGGTTTGAATGCCAGATGCCCAGTGCGATGGTTAGTATTTAGGGTACTATATTAAGGTCCCCTCTTTTCGGCGTCATGCCAGTCGGGCACTCGAAGTTATTTGGCCCTCAGGTGCTTCTAGCAAGGCCTCAGCATGGCCCTCAACCCTAATATAGGGGCCCTTTAGAGCTAGAACTGGGGTTCTGGGGCTGCTGATTTTACTATACTTAGGGTTTATAAGGGTTTAGGGCTATAGTAAGGAACTCCCAAAATAGTATATGTTGGTAATTATCTAGGCCCCCATGTTAAACCCTCTGCAAACACACGGATTGACTCAGATCATGTTTTGCGCGCAGGATCGGATTGAAGGTTCAGTGTTCCGGGATTCAGGACTCTAAACCCCAAAGCAGATACGCCAAACCCAAAGCACCAAACCCTAAATCCTCAGCCCAAAACACCTGCACTGCCCCTGCACCCTAACACCTAAACCGTATCTAATCCTGAACCCCTAGAGCCTGATGTTGGCTGAACCTTTTTCACTGCCACCGCGAAAATCATTCTAATGTCAGAGCTGCGGCGATTCGACCTGCATCAGAGCCAAAACTCTTCTGCTTTTCTTTGGGGTTTGACTCTAAATCTTAGGGTTTAGGATTTAGGGTTTGGGGATTGGGGACTATGGTTTGGTGTTTAGGGCAGGGGCAGAGCTCACATCCTACAACCAAAACCCCCCCAACCGCCCGCTCCCCACCCCCAATGCTTTTACCTTTTTGTCTCAACCCACCTGATCCATCAACGCTTCCAGACCACAGTACAAAAAGCACCCTCCACAATCCGAACAATAGTCCGTAACACAACACCAAACCCATCGAAGACATTGCTTGCTCTGCAAGGGGCTTTGTGATTTCTGCAGGGTCGTCACAAGCAGGTTTGACAGGGTCTAGGCTTTTTTGTAGAAGCCCGAAAACATATTGTGTTTGGGTGTTGTTGCCAGACAATTGAAACAAGAAGCACACCCGTAGCCTCCTTTGAGGTTTTGGGCTTATGATTGGTCGCGCAAGTCGGGGTCAACGGTCAGCTCTATTGAATGATTAGAGCTTTGTGCTATGCCAAATGCAGGGGCTTAGGATTCCCGTAAACATCCCAACACGCCAAGGCCCTAAACCCTTAGTAAATCTCGGAAACACCTACGGACCTACGAAGACAAATGCCCACGCAACTGGAAACGAACCTCGATCCTAAACCTGAACCCTAACCCACATTACAACTGTGACTCCAGCTAGACGTCCATAAGCGGTTTGGCCTTCAGCTTCGCAACGTTGGCAGTCGCAGTCGAAAAACCAGTGGCTAGACCTTAGGGCTGGAAGAATAAGGATTCCTTCAAGGGTTCAGTTTGAGACTTCCTAAGTCCGTGTGCAACACCAAGGGTCCCCATGAAGATCCTATCATTGTTTAGGATCTAGATGGGAGTTTCCGAAAATAGGGGACCCTAATATTGTACCCTAAATAGTAGGATCCTTATCATAAGGACCCCAAAATAAGGTACCTCTATTTTCGGAAACCCTCAGATTAGTGGTGGCGGGCGGGCAGACAAGGGTTCTGGGGATGATTTCTCAGACGCCCAGGGTAGGGGCTTGAGAGCTGTAGAGTTCCAGGGCTGAAAGCTTAGAGCTTCAGGCTTCATGAGGTTTGGGGTTTCAGGAGGTGGGTGGTTGTGAAAAATTATGGCCCCTTTTGGGGGTACCCTAAATAATAGGTGCCGCACTAAAATTAGGACCCAAAAAGGGACCATAATTTTGACAACCACCCAGGTAGTATTTAGGGCCCTCTAGGGTTTCGAGTGCTGTAGGAGGAGGGTTGCGATCGGTGTTTGCTCGATATTCTGTGGGTTGTTGTCCGTTCGCTTGTAACCCTTCTTTCAGGAAATGGGTGGCCACCGGATAAATTATAAGTTACACTGGAGTGGTGAAACCGTTGTGGTCGTCGTGGCAGCGGCATCTACTCGGTGCTGTATGTAGGTGTCATAGTCGTAATAGTCGTCGCAGCACGAACACAAGCAGGCGAGGAGGAGTGGGAACAGTCCCTAAAGTCTAAACCCTAAACCCTAAATTAGGCAGCAGTAGTGGCAGCCGCAGTGCTCGCAGCTCAGCCGCGGCAGTAGCAGTAATCAAGTGGGAGTTTCCGAAAATTCGGGGTACCTTATTTTGGGGTCCTTCTAAAAAGGATCCTACTATTTAGGGTCCCATATTAGGGTCCCCTTTTTTCTCGGAGGTGTAGCAGTCGTCGCCGGCATCGTCGTCGTCTTACTGGTACACATGTTGACATAGTCATTTTGATGCGAAATTAATACTAGCATAGCAGCAGCTGTGGTCGGAGTCGACAGAAGGTGTAGTGATGGCACTTGCTACAAAAAGCCCCGAACTCAGTACTAGTGTCGTTAATTAATCAGAGCCATCATAAAATGCACGCTTGGGGGAATATTTTCCAAGCTCTGCAGATGCAGCCTGAGGCCATGTCAGCTGCTGGCGTCGCTCGTCGCCTGGCCTTAGCTCACGGTGCGAACAACACAGAATCTGACCTCAAATCCTTGAGGTTACTGCTGTGACCATGATCGTGGAATTCCATGAGTGTTAGAATCGTTAGAAATATAGGAAGTCAGGACAGGAGCTGCAGTAGCAGATCGGCAACCCAAACCACAAAAAAAACAAAAAACACAGCTGAAAACTCGAGGTAGAGCCCCGTAGCGGACGATTTACCACGGACAGAGCCCGAAGACTAGCACATATATTACTAAACAAACAAATAAAATGAAGAAAAATACACAAAGAAACCCGTACACACGCGAATGAATGGATAAGTAAATGCATAACATATAAGAAATCTATACATATATATATATATATATATATATATTTATTTATTTATTTCTTATGTATGTATACTGCATTATACATGAAGATGAGATATGCCAAAGAATTCCGTGTCGAAACCAGACCAAAGCATCAGGCCATCAGACCCCAAGTGCCATGGGTCAGCTTTAACGAATAAGAACCTGATTTATGGCCTGGCTTTTCGGGTTTGTTGGGGGTTTGGGGTATAGGATCCTCGGCAAACCTTGTGGGTGTTGAGGGTTTGGGACTTAGCGTTTAACGTTTCGGGGATTTCTCACCACATGACATAGGCGTGTGTATGTATGTGTATATATATATATATATACATATATATATATATATATACATATATATTATAGATAAATATCTAGGTACATATGTGCATTATTGGTATAGATATATGATATATGTGTATCATCTTGCATTTGATAGAAAGAGAGAGAAAGAGAGAAAAAGAGAGAGAGAGAGAGAGAAAAAAAAAAAAAAAAAAAACGAAAGAGAACGAGAGCGAGTAGATGTGGGGTTTGCGGGGGTTAGAGGGCTAAAGACACCCCAAACCCTAAACCTTAAACTTGAACCCCTACAACCCTCAGCTCTAAACCTTAAGACCCTACAACCCCCAAAACCCTAAACGAAAAACCCTAAACCCCAAACCCTAACCTCACCCCCCCACCCCCCCAGACTTTGCAGGTCTTGGTGTTCAGGCCAAGCCCTGGATCTGAGGATCAAAGATGTAGCTATTCATGCCTGACATGTCTAGGAATCAGTTTCGCCTAGGGGCCCAGTATCCTAGCCCAAAGAAAGTTAACCTTCTCAATTATGGTAGGATTATATGAAGCCAAAAAGGTTAACACTTACCTACTCAGCTACTAAGATGGTTATATTACAGCTGCGATATATTATTACTCAAATTATACTTGGTATAGTTACTATAATTAGTCCATGAACCAGTATAGTTACAGGAGAGCTGCTATATGTTATATTGTTATTTTGCTTGGTGAAGCTATTATAGTTACTGTAGATAGTAAACTGATTATAAGGCATAGGCATCCTATCTTGCTTTGCAGTACTCGTAAGATTTATTCTGTCTTCAGGGTGTGCCGTATCGTTTTACAGGGTATTCAACCGCCCCTGACTGAGCCAATACATGGCGTTTGCAAAGACCGCTTCATGTAGGATTTAGGATGTAGGCTTCAAGCTTTCAAACGGGTTTCGGAAGCCCATGTAACCCATCTACGCATTCAAAATCGTGCTTTTTCCGATGTCTTTCGCGGCATCCCTCAGTTTCGGTGCTTCATATCCTCCAACACCCCAAATCCAGAATCCGGAATCCTACGTGGACGGAAACTCTAAACCAATCCGAAACCATACCCTAAACCCAACGCCCCAAGTTGATACTGAGCGGATCAGGCGAGTCAGTAAGTAGGTTTTAAGTACGGTTATTGCCTACTAATTCCGTTTATGCTCTAAGTACTCTCCCTAAACCTAAACTCTGAACCCTAAACCTGAAACCCGAAACCATGAACCCCAAGGACTGTGAGCCGGTACCAGTCCGGCTCGACGTAGGCCAAGGTCAGGGGCTCCCCTGCCTCGAAGGCTACCGGGCCTTTATTTAGGGTTTAGGGTTTAGGGTTTATTAAAGCTTTAGAGCTTTACAATTTAGGGTTTAGGAGTTTAGGATCTGCAAAGCATGCAGAGTTTTAGAGCTTAAGGATCTTTAGATTTAACTTAGGGTTTTAGGGCTTCGGGTGTTCTTTCGGTTAACGCCATCTTCCGACTGCAGGGGAGGGTTTAAGGTTTTAGAGCTCCCGGATATCAGTGTCTGCAGGCTGCGGATTTGAATTCTGTGCTGAGAGATCTAGGGTCTATTATCAAAGGGGAAAAGGAGGGACCCTTAATGGGGACCCCTACCCTATAATGGGCTATATAATGGGTATA